TACTTTTTCTGTACTTGGCCTGTTGGACTATATTTCAAGCATCCTTGCAGTTCGATAGTTGTGGACCCCTTGTCATATTTCTGAGCTTGCACAAGTTTGTCTGAGTTTGCTCTCAATTGCTGACAAAGTTGCAGGATAAAACTGTACTTCGCCTGCAAGAATAAGATCCTTTATTTTTTCCTCCATCCCCAACTGCTCTTGAGAGGGCATCTGCTCTTACTAGTACATGGCATGGAACACAGATTATGGCATTGTTGTACATCATCACCTGAAACCCGAATCTTTGAATATGTAGATGTATTTTTGAGATTCTTTTCAATCCTAATAAAGTGACCAAAGGCTTGTCTTGACCTGAAATTTCAGTCCCATGAGGTAATTTGTGAATCTTTCACATCGCCACATAACTGCTAATGTTTCTCTTTCTATCGTTTGCAAGCATCTGTTCAGTCTCTGTCAAAGCTCTCAATGTAAAATAGTCCAGTTTTCATGTACCATTGGTTTGTCCTTGAATAAGGACTGTTCCTAGCCCTGCTGTGCATACAAAAAGAAAAGCTGTAACTGTTCACCAGTTGCAACTATTCGGAATGATTTTTGCTTTGACTTCAGCATTTTCTGTGGCTTTGATTTGCTGCTCGGACATAGTGGAGTAAGTCCGTAAATATTGTGTGTCTTTATTACAGACTTAATTTAAATCTTGAAATGGAATTCAGAGTAGCTGGTGAACAATGACATGGAAAATCCTCCACCCTTCTATGAATCAAATTGCCAGCATTTTTAATTGTTAGAAGGAACAACTTTGTACTTGAATTTTATGCCATTTGTCCAAGATATGCAAATGGTGGGGACCGTGGTTCCAAAAGAGATTAGAGTCTGTTTATCTGAGTTGATGTTTCTTCATTATAACTTCTCACACCTTTGAGATATCATCTGTTTAATTTTGAAATAGTTTTTATTTATAGCAATCATGCAACAGCATAACAGGAATCCTTTTACCTTAGATTACTCTTATTCCCTGAGTGGATAATGATAATCAGTCTGCAAGGAATAAAGATTGCAGCTTTTTTCATAGATTTTTCCTTCATTTTCAATTGTAGTTTTAAGTTTAGGAAGTATTTCCTGCTAATTTAATGAAATCAGAATCCCACAATAACCCTTAGTTTATTGCACCGGTTATAAGCTGCCAGCTCATATGAACAGATGATGTTGTGAAGTCTCTTGCTTTTCTGACTATGTGTTTATGTTTATCTGCACCCAGGTATTAGAACATTATCCCATTTCAGGTGCAATTATTATTGCTTCCTCCACCATCTGTATGACGTTTGTGATCTTAAACCTCTTTCTCTCGGTAATTCTAGTGACCTTCAGAGAAGAGCGCAATTCTCCAATGGTATGTACACATTTCCTGAGAGAAAATAAATGTTCTGCAACAAGTTGGCTAAATATATCTGCAAACAAGTGACTTTGAAGTTCCTTTTGCATATTCCCATAATGACTCAGCTGGCTAGGGTAACAAGGTGAACAGGACAGTAGGATTAACTTTGGTTTACTCCAGCAAAAAAACTGAGATAAATACAAGGGGGTGAGTGGATTCGTTTCAAGCCACAAACAAAACTGGTTCCATGAGAATAGATGAAGCAACAGTAGGACTACACAGAGCGCAAAGGATCTGAGTGAACTGATTCCAGCTGTTGGGAGGAAAAGCTGCAAATAACCTCAAACCCCTTTAAAGCCCCACAGGATCCATCTTCCAGTAATTTTTATACTACTGAACTTTTCCAGTCGATATCACATAACTAAACCAGATGAGAGATTGTCCAGGTGGGGGCAGATTTCCAACTTCCATCAGAGGGAAAAGCTGCAAATCACAGAAAATTCGTAATTGGATAAGCTACAAGTCAGGAACAGACCCTTGGGATTCCAATGCACTTATCAGTTAGCTAGTTGGTACAATGTCTCCCTTTTCTGTCTCTCCAGTTAGACTACAGAAATTCCCAACCTGAGAGGGTGTGCCACCACAAACAGCCCCGGCCTGTACCCGTATCCAGATGGAAGCATATGCACAGCTGAACTGTGAACAGACATACTGCAAGTCATGCCTTTGTCTGATGGGAAGGGTCGTAACCGTAGGGAGTGATCTTGAATGATCACAGATTTTCAACATTTACATATTTCCTGGCAATAAATGCTGGCCAGCCAGTGATGCCCACATCCTATGAGTAAATAAAAAAAAAGACCAGGATAGCAATGAACATTTAGTGGTTATTTCATGCAGTTGCTTGTAATTATAAACGTAGCCATGGTATATCCATGGGAAGATATGGCAAGTGGTTTCCCATTAGTCAACCAATATTCTACTTTGAGGATTTAGGAAGATTCTGATTATAGCATAGAAAAAGCTGACATGTATTGTACAGTCCTTAGATCTGTCAATATAATAGGGATGGGCTGCATTATTTACCATCAAAAGTTGTCCAGTTTATAATTTTCTGGAGAATTGAAATTTTCATTACATTATACATGTATACTTAGCATTTCACATTTTTAAAAATCTGATCATCATTGTCCTGATTTGTTTTTTGTTCCAGCCATCTGAGGATCAGGAAATAGTAGACCTGCTGTTGAAGAAACTTTACAGCTTCTTTGGAAATCAAGGCAGTGTGAAATCCTCTAAGCAGAGAAAAGCTGACTAAATTATTATAAAACAGAAAGCAGATGTTTGGACTATCTACTTATTTTGTAATCAAACCCATTTTGACTCTATACACTTATCCCCTGACAAAAACTTCTGTTCCCTGATCCCCAAAGTAAAGAAATGAAAATGCATTATATTCAACCATCCCCAAAATCCTCCATTAAAGCCTGTCTGCTTGCCTTCAAAGACAACTCCCTCCCCCCAACAGCGCAGTCATTGTAGGATTTGATTCAGGATTTGATCACCTGAACCTATCCTTAGCATGATTACAGTAGAGTGTTCCCTCATGTGCCGGTATTTTATTTGTCAAATGTATCTTTGCTGCAAGCATAAATAGACCTTCAAGAGAAAGATCTATGAACATTATGAAAAGTAAGAAAAAAATTGCTTTTCTCTCTTGAAGCTCATTAGTGAGAAACCTTTGATAATAATGTAATTGCATAGCCAATTCAGGAAATTAGTAATTTTAGATAACAAGGTGTAGAGCTGGATGAACACAGCAGGCCAAGCAGCATCAGAGGAGCAGGAAGGCTGACATTTCGGGCCTAGACCCTTCTTCAGAAAAAA